AAGTGGCCCGGCAATTCTCAGAGAACTTTGGGTGTTGGTTATGTCACGTCTTTGCCCACCTATCCACTAAGAACAGGACTTTAAGACAGAAGAATTAGGCTAATTCCGAGTTCCGGTTTACGTTCCGGAGTAAAACAGGGAGCCGATGACCAATGAAGATATTCTGTTCTTACGTGAGCAAGCGCTTTTGAGCGCTGAAAACTCAGTTAAATTTGGCCCTGGCTGAGCGCGAATTCCGGTGATTACCCACAGATAATTTCTTAGGGGACTGTTCCTTTTTCGACATGGGGCTTCTTGTGAGCTAGGGAGGGGCCACGTTAAAAGCCCAGGCACCATGCTCGTCAATATAATGCAAAGGAGGCTTAGGTGGTGTAGTAGCAAGTGACACGCTTACCATGCGCAGGGTCCGGGCTCAAATGCTGGTTTGGCTCACTCCCAGGCCAACCAAGCCTTCTACCCTCCGGGACGGTAAATTGGTACCAGATTCGTCTGGGAGGATAAGAACACTGACTTGTACATCGGCTGGCCCCGCAAGTCATTGTATAGGCCACATCGCATTCAATAAGCCACTACGATTCTGAATGGAAGTAGAATGCGTGCCGCATCCCACAAAGGGATTGATCAACGCGACTACTTTATCGTTCATGATGCAAAGTATTTTCGAGAACGAGAGCAGCTGTACTCACCTCCTTCTTGATTTCCAGTCTCACTTTCAGTGCAGCGGCGGCTTTACGAGTAACCAAGCCAACACCGACTTCCTAAACAGGAGGTGGTTGAAGGAAGTCTGAGGCTAGAGGGTTTGATTCTTCGTTTTTACTCACCTTCATGTACTCATCGAAGTTCTCACTTTTGTCTAGCACCCATTTTCCTTCGAAACTCATTTTTCTGAAAGGCAAGAGCATGACGGGTGATGGAAGCGTTCCAAGAACGTCAAGCATGAACTGGGCTAGATTGAGACTGACAGCAAAAGATGGATGGCGATTCTGAGAATGAGCTGAGAAGTTTGATATTTTCCTTACTTTGCTTCTCCAAAATCATCCAAAATATCTCTACAAGAAGGCAATTTTGAATTTTCCGTTTAACAACAAGAGAGCAAAGAGCGAATTGTTGCAGAAAACCATTTTGTGAATGGGTCCGCTATCGACGACGTCTCTTTTATAGAGGGTCGAGAAAGCAACGTTGGCAGAAAACCACTATCAGTGGTGCGGTGATGGCTGTTCGGAGAAAAGTGATCGGAAGAAAGACCAATTGTCGATTGCACGGACAGCTCAGCACTGTCGAAGCCGTACTTGCCCAACGGTACGACAGTGAAGTAGTAGCTACAAAAACAGTTGGGGTGTGCTACAGGTTGCCCCTTGTTGGAACCTCAACAGGATGTCTTAATGTTTTCTTTTCCGGCAGGGGTTCTTTTATTCTTCCCTGAGTAATTTAAGCACGAAGTTTGAAAGGCAGGACGGGAGGAAGCCTAGTGGAGTAACTAACAAAATAGGACCTTCAAGCTTTCTTCGTCTACGAAGAAACCAGCGTCGAACGAGTCGACTGATAGTCCAATCTGAAGGATAAAGGAACACAAATAGAGACACAGACCGAGAGACGTAGAGAAAATCTTTTTTGAGAGTTGGTACGGCCCCCCCCCCTAAGCCTCTGTCCTCCTCGGAACTCAGCCGCGGAGTTGGGAGGGGTGGCGGGGGGGCATATAGTGACGTGACACTAGGAAATCACAAAAATCATCCGCCACTCCCACAACGCCAAAACGTAAATACGACCCCCCTCCTCTCAAAAATGATCAAATACGACCCCCCCTCCCTTTACAACGTCCATGAAGCGAGAAAATCAACTATCAAAATAAATTTCTTCTCAGCCCAAATACGACCTCCCCCTCCTGGCGACCAAATACGACCCCCCCCCCTTGGGGATCACCCAACAACGATGTGCCCTGGTCGGGGGGAGGAAGTCTATAGTACACCTGAAACATGAAAAATCACGCGAAATATCAACACTGGAAAAAAATTTTCCCAAGCAGGGGCAATTTTTGGGGATTTTGGTCGAGCCAGTACAACCGCCTCCCCTTTTTCTGGAGTCGCGTACGACGCCCGTTCCCCCACGCTAATGTCCTCTACCTCATCGAATCGAGGCCGTCGAGCGCGGGGGGGGGAGGCGGGCGGGGCTATAGTACTTGAAACAGGAAATACCAAAGTCAACTCGCCACACCCCACAACGCCCAAAACGTAAAATACGACTCCCCACCTCCAAAAATGACGCAAATCAAATAACGGGCCCCCTTCCTCGCGCTTCACAACGCTCCATCGAAGCGAGAAAATCAAATTCAATAAAAATTTTTCTCAGTCCAAATACGCGCAATCCCCAAACCCCACGTACAGGGTTGTCGTGTCCCGACACAAACGCAACAGCCACCCTGGATCCTGCTTATCCAAATACGGCCCCTATTGGAAACCCGCAGCACAGCGATGTGCCTTGGTCGGGGCGGGGGGAGGGGTAAGTCTATAGTACACATGAAACATGAAAAATCACGCGATATATCAACAACCGGAAAAAATTTTCCAAAGCAGCAAATTTCTCTCAAAGCCACATACGACCCCCCCTTCTCCCAACAACGACCAAATACGTGCCCTCTCCCCAGCGGAAAAGTACGACCTCCTATTTGTTTCCGGGGAGCCAAACTACAGGCATTTTTCACTGCGCCCCCGCCTAACTTCACTTAAAATGACAAAAGTAGCAGTCTTTCATAGCTGCTGGCCCGTTCACCTCCTACTGACACGGAGTCACCTCGTAAAGAACGGCACAGCTTGTCTTTAATTTCCACCCTTTGACGGACTCATCGCCGACTGGACTCGGAAAGCCAAACGAGCGCCAGGATGACCACCAACCCAACGGTTTTCTCAGGAAAGCCGCACACTGAAAGATTGAATCGCTTGGTAGACCGGATGTAGAAGATTCCATTGGGCTACTCTGAATCTGCAATAGGGGAGAATAAAGGTGTTTCTGGGCTCCTCTTGGGCAATTCGAGGAGCAACGGGACGACAGGCGATAAATTAAAACATTTAGTATATTTCAAAAATGTTCATAATAATATTGTGGACTGATTCAAAGCATAATACACTCTGTCGAGAGAATACTAGAATGGAGTCAAACTGGATAGATTTTAGCAGTTGCGCTAACGCCCTCTCCAAACCTGCTGTTCGGGCATGGTTTGTTGTTCATACAAAAAGATGGAACGATTTCCATCGAGAACGGGAAGAGTGTGGCCACTACTGGTGCCGAAAGAAACTGAGTAAGTGGATTAACAAATGGTAATGAGGACTCGAAGAGCACCGGTGCGTATTTTCATGGAAAAAGGACAATTTGGACAAATTAAGGGGTGGCAGTTCGTGGATTCTTCCACTAACGACTGTCATGACTCATAAATGGTATTTGATCGTAATCGGACTCGGAGCGCGCGAGTCCTGTGTTTTCAGCTGTATAGCACGTCGCGATTTTCGGTGACATAGATCCAAAGATCGCATACTAAAGTCTAGTTATTCTCCTTCTCAATCAGGACACAAAAACAGAACGTGGGTCGTATTCTGCCGGTATCAAAGGGGTCGCACTCGACCTCGCCAAAAACCAAACCTTTTTGATGGTTGATTTTCTCGTTCCCTCTCCCCCTGATTGGGCGGCGCGGCAACCACTATTTTTGAGAGTTGGGGAGTTGGTTGAGAACCCCGACGCCCTCCCCCACTCGTCTGGAGGTCATCTAGGATTATCTACTATCACCTCCACTTGCAGCGAATTTTGATAAATATTGACAAGACTGTCTGTGTGTGGGAGTTGGTCAGCGAAGAGTAGCGAAATCTGGCGAGAAGGCTCGTAAAAATTCCTATAAACGCCGCATGACTTCTTTCCTACTCCTCACTATCGTACGCACTCGGCACGAACCATTAGAGAACATACGGTGACCTGCCGATAGATGACAAGGCGAAAACGGTGAGGCCTGAACATAACGCTGCTACAATACTCCACAAGTTGTGGGTGTGAAAGGTCATTGTAGCAGAAGCATCTCTCTTTCGCGTGTGATTCCTGAGGGCCCAATTTGTGCGCGGTGGCCAAATCTGCAGAACGAATACAGAATCGTTGTCTTGAGCAAGACCTTGAAGAGGAGTGCAAGATTCTTTCCAAGTATAAAAGAATTTATTTCTCTATTTCTATTATTCAGAGAGAATATCAAATGTATAATCAGGAATATTCCGCCCTAAAGATTCCAAGTCCAAGAAACCAAGGACTTTCAAAAAATGTCAGGCGGTTAGAGTAACGCGATACAGCTTGAAAAACAGGAGAATAGAGCCGCCGGTTCCTGAAGCAGCCAGACTCGCCTACCAAATACGGCTAGAGGAACACATTGTTGTTCACTGGGGCTTGTCCTCGAACCACTTCAAGGACCATGAGTCATAGACTCGTCTAGAGACCCGTTGCAAGAGATGTAGGTGGCGGCGGTCAGACAGGTAAGCAATCTGCTCCGTGATCGCTCAACTTTCCAAGATGGCCTACCGATTGTATCAGTAACTTGCGAAAGTGAGTGTTCTAGTTTTACCTGGGAAACTCCAATTCTGGGTCGACTTCGGTGGCTGAACTGTACAGCTTAATCGCTGGCCAGCTTCTGACTTATTATGCACAATAGTCAGCAACTGCTACTGAGAGTGGGCGAAAATGGACAATCGTGAATGGGACTGCTACTTAGTTCGAGGATTAAGTCTTTGGGAAGCTCAACCTGGGGACGTTGGGAACTCAGATCTCCACCAAGTCACCCAGGTGTTCCAGCTCATGATCGCTTCATTGGAACCACGCTCCTCTGGTAGGAGGAACAAGCTGGATTGATATCATATTAAAAGCAACTGTATTCAGAACATGTTTTCGTTAGGGAGTTCCCATCACGGAGCATCGTCGCGTGTGGAAAATTTCTGTAAAAGACCACCCCATTACCTACCCTCTCCCCTTTTTTTCTTCTATACCGTTCTTTTTCCAACACCGCTGCCCACATTTTTACTGGGGATAGAATATATTTGCGCCTGAAATGTGGAAAATCAACAATTTACGGAGATTATTCCGGGTAAAGATTCGACACACCTACCCCACTGCCCAACACCATTCTCCGTTGTAATTTCCTAAACGACAATGCGCCCTAAACATGGCGCAGTAAAGTGTCGTTTAGTCGTCAGGGAGATAGGAGATGTATTTGAATTTTTTCAGATTTTTGTTTTTTTATAATGTCATTTCTGTATTGTACGCATCTTGGTCGATGGAATTGGTGTTTTCGTCCTGCTGTGCTAGTTTTTATTTAGCGACCTTGTATATTGCCTATCCCATTCACCCTCCCTCTTCCAGCTTGTAGAACGTTGAGGGAGGGTCTCATTCACGAAAGTCCTGATTTGATGGTGGCTCTTGCTTGCACTTCGACTAGCCCCTATACATTCACTGTTCGTGCTGTTCCTGCAAACGAAATGGCCTGAGAAGGGGGGGGGGAGGGTAAATTGGAGAGCAGCCACGGCTGCTTTTAGAGGGACTTCCCGCGCTCAAGCAGCTCGTAGACGTCCCCTAAAGAAAGAGTCTAAACCTTTCTCTGGGCCTATCCGCTTTAGCGTTTACACGCTATAGTTAACAAATGACGCTGTGGTTTTTTATAAGCGGCCAAGTGCCGACGCCTCCCTAGTGGTCTTGGCTCACTGAAACCAACAAAGGCAGGCATTCCTGTCCTGTGTCTGTTGAGTTTTTTAACCCAAGGTTTTATTTTTTTCACACGCTTCAATAATATTACTGTTGCATTAGATGACGCGAAGGAATGATTAGTGAGCTTTGGTGGCATAGAAATAAAAGATCCGGAGAATTC